GCTGTTTTTAAGATTAAAAAAAAAATGAACAAACACCAAGCAAATGAGTTGATTTGCATTTTTGATTACTTGGGATGCTTATGCAGACCGAATGTTTTACTTTCCGTGAGAAAACAAAATTGTTTATACATTTCATGTATTAGCAGTGAGATTTAGAAATATTATATATTTCTATCATAAGTGTAATTGCTATCAATTGTCGGTCCCCTACAAGGTACATGTAATCGGAGGAAATAAGTTTCTTTTTACTTATCTTGTTTATATATGTTAAGTTGTCCCTTTGTCTGTTTGTCTGTCTGTCTCACTTGGTTATCGGTTCCTTTTCTCCTAAGATAATGTCAGATATTGAGCTGAATTTCAGTTAATGAGTTAATCGTTGAAAGTTTTTGATTCGTTCTATTATAATAGAATTGCAGACTCTTTAATTTTTCTGATTTTTTGCATTTATTTTTAAACTTTAAACGCCTATAGTCATTGAGCTGAATTTGATATGTGAATTACCTTGAAGGGTTTTATATTAAGTTTGCATTTTGTCCTCCTTAAAAGCATAAATGATTTTTAACACAAATATGGAATTTTAAATTTTTAAAAGATATCAAGATTGCATTTGCTTGTGAAGACTTATTTGCTCACTGTTGCAATACTCTATAAATGCATTAAAATAAATCTAAATCTAGCATCGGTTACTCCATTACATAACGTTTTCATCGATTTCCTTTGAGAAAGTAATGATGAATAAACCGTCAAGTGGAATGCCTAAGCAAAGATCTAGATTTTGTATCCTATATATAATGTAAAATAAAAAATGAAATAACCACAAATGGAGATTTTTTCAGCAATTTGAAAGTTAAAAAGAGTGTATATTTTTTAATTTGCAATTGCATTTTTTGATACATTTGTCAGTAAATTGAATTTGTTGATACATTTGTCAGGAAAATTTAATGGATGGTTGGTCAAAAGCGATACACGTATGAACCTCCTTGCATTTCTTTTGGAGTCCAATACACTCTGACGTTAAACTAATAAAAGGGAGTCTTAACCAATTAGAGACCACGAAAAAATGCCAAAAGTTAAAAAACACAATGCTTTTTATAATCATGATTCATCCATTTAAAGACACAATAAAGTAATTGGTCATCTTTTATGTGTCAAAAAATCGAATGAAAGCCTTTGATTTTGCGAGCTCCTTACCAATACCTGTGTTTAATCGATCCTGTTATTATTATTCATGTTATAACAAATATTGATTTATTACAAAAATAATTTTCATAACGCAAGTAATCAATGAGAGAGTATAACAAATTTTTCAAATTTAGTAGAAGACGTCTTTTGTTAATTATTTGTTAAATATGCGTCATACATCTTCGATCGAAAAATAAAAACTTGATTTAGTCTATGTGTGGCCTATTGTAAATGAGATTCAGTACTTAATATATATGAATTAAAAATTATTCTGAAAAAATAAAGAGTATAAAGGCAATTGTATAAATCGACGTATTGTAGACAAAGATATATATAAATATGAATTTGAAATTAATAGAGCAACTTATGATTCATGATGTTAAGAGCAAATAACTTTTCCAATCAAGTGGATATATATTTGCGACCTTGTCAGCAAACATATCTTATCATTTAGGCAAATGCTGATTGACCGATACATACAGCATGTTAGATCATTATTTTCACAAGAATTTTTTTTCACGATCATGATAAGAAATACTTATTGGTCGACAGGAGAGGCTCATTCCTCATTGGTATTTTTAAGGAGTCCGTGCTTGTTCTGCTTTCGATTTGTTTTTTTTTTTAATTAACGCTGAACATACACACTGTTCTTTTTCTCCATATTTGAAACGTGATAGATCCGGGGCGTATATTGTTTTTGTCCTGTCTGTCTGTCTGGTTTTTCTTTTTCTTTTTTGTTTTAGTTTGTTGTCTACAAACTTTAAAACCTTCGCCATAACTTTTGAACCAGGAAAGATAAAGACATCATTTGGTATGCATACTCCACCAATTAAGTTTTTCCAAATGACACCAAGGTCAATGGCCTTGAGACCTTGACTGTGACTATATGCTAAAAATAGCTTTCATCTTCAAACCTTCGCCATGATTTTTAAACCATGAAAGATAGAGACTTCATATTTGGTATGCATACCGCTAATTTAGTTTTTTCATATGACACCAACATCAATGACCTTGTGACCTTGACTGTAACCTGTTTGCTAAAAATAGTTTTTTCGTACTTTTGCCATAACTTCCGAACCATAGAAGATAGAGACTGCATATTTAGTATGCACACTCGGCTAATTAATCTCTTTTAAATGACACCAAGGTTAATGACCTTGTGACCTTGACTGTGAATTTTATGCTAAAAATATTTTTTTCATACCTTTGCCATAACATTCGAACCTTAAGAGATAGATACTTCATATTTGATATCCATACTTTACTAATCAATTTCTTTCAAATGACACCAAGGTCAATGACCTTGACTGTGAAATATATGCTAAGAATAGCTTTTTTAGAATTTTGTTGCCGCCGGGCGCATAGTGTTTCACAAACACATCTTTTTTTTTTTTTTATAAGGATATTGCCTAAAAGTGACCTATCGTTCTTAATAAAGACGCATAAACTTTAATTGAAAATTGAACATATACTACATGTATATGTAGGACTCCTAAGTGCGATGGGACTCCAAAGTGCGATGGTCATGCCAAAGTCCGATGGTATTCGACAAACCCCGATGATTTGACAAGCCAAAGTCCGATGGTGCGGAAAAACAATTACCGTTTATGACGTAATAGTGCTACTGTGCAAAACTGTAATGCCGCACCATGCCAAGGTCCTAAATAATTATACATAAATATCATGATTGGAAAACTAACCCTAAACAGGTGCGAAACTAACCCTAATCACTCAAAAGGTGTGTAACAACTATAGTAGATATCTTGGGTGGATGCAATACTAACCTTTATTACTCGACTAGTGTTCGAGGACTAACATATCTCTCGGGTTGGTGCGAAGCAAGCATTATGGACTAACCCTAATCAGTTAAATGGCGTGCTACATGTAGGACTAATCCTATCTCTGAAAGGTACAAGCAAGAAGCAAAATCTATAAAAGTGTATGCGAGGACAAATACTGAATTATTGGTTTTCGAATGCAGGTCGTCGACGTCAAGGACTGACATCGGATAATTGTGACGTCATAAACGTTGATTGCTTCTCCGCACCATCGGACTTTGGCGTGTGAGACAACGCACTTTAGCGCAATGTGTCTCATAGGAAATGAGCCAACGACCATCGGACTTTGGCGTCCGTAAAGACAGCGAGCAATCGGGGTTTGGCGAGACCATCGGACTTTGGCGTCACCATCGCACTTTGGAGTCTTACATCTATATAGTGACATTTTCATTTTGCAAAGAAATGAACGCAATATTTTTATAGGGAATTGTGTGAGATGTAAAATGGAATAGCCGGCGGTTATCAAGATCAGAAGTCTACCAAAAGAAGACATTTTGAAAGAAAAGGAAACACAGACCTAAAAAAAAAACATTTGATTTGGGATCAGGTAACATGCAGGGGTTAGCATTTCCTGTATATGTCGACCGGTCATATATGTCAGGTTGTTTATGTTTAAGAATTTAATGAAACAATACGATAAGAAAATTACATGTACTATCTGACGACCACAAGGCAGTGTGAAAGATAACACCCACCACGTTGTGTTGTTATTTATGATATGATGTAAATAATATGTGTTTGTGGTTAGTTATAATGTCTAATTCTGCATTTTACCTGGAATGTATGTTTTTATGTGTTTGCTTTGCTCCTATTTTGCATTGTTTAAAGAACTTTTTTAGCTTGAATACTGTTCGTTATCTCCATATATTTCATGTATATTAGATATGAAATATAATCAATCATTCTTCTCTTTAATAGCAACGTTAACAAGAAAATGAAAACTTCTATCTCTGTTTTCCCACCTGGGAATGAAATATTCTCCATGAAAAAATCTTAAGTTCGTAGTAAGCATCTTCCTTGCAAAGCTTAAAATCAAGAATACAAGAGTTATCTCCTCTCTTCTAGTGAGAGAATTTTGGAAAGAAACTTCTATAAAGGCTTACTTACATACCGGTATATGTATAAGTCTAAGATTTTCAGCTGAAAATGCAAATTGTTTTCTTAAATTTAGAGTTATCAAATACTATGAAAGAGGTATATATAATGAACAAAAGACCATATTAAGTTGATAATTGTCAATAGAGTAAAAATGTCAGCAGGAGAAACAACTCAAAAAAACCCTGAGGATTGTACAGTAGCAGGTGATCAATTATTTTAATTATTAAATTAAGAAGAGAGGAAATATATCAAACTGTTATAATTTTTTTTGGGCTAATAGGGGCGTTGAGAGCGTATAAAAACAAGATATTCAGTTCTATTTACAAAAATGGACTAGTCTCTCCCAATGACCTGTGGGTTTGAGAAGTCATTTTTTGTAATTAAAATTTGATTGTTAATATTTACATAAGGTATTAACATTTTATAAATGCCTCTGACTATATCCATGTTTTCTCCGCAGAAACAACAAATATTGACAAAACAAATGTTCGTGGATGGAAACTTCTTGCGTGAGCGAAAGCAACACCTCCAGAAACCCTGAAGATTCCACAGTAGTGGGTGATCAATTATATAAATTAATGTATGTGTTCATTAGTATTCAATGCACTTTATCCAACTTTTGATGCTTTTAGAGGTCCTTGTTTGTCTTGCTCCTGATTTAATTGCAGTTTGATTGAACGTTTGTTCTTGGAAAATGTTTGTCTATCTCCATATATTTCATTGATATATTTTAAAAGCTTTTCCTTGACTTTCATAAAATAAAGTTTATAATGCACTACTGCACCGATAATGAATAATTTATGTAGAACTGTTGACGTCTTAATTAGAAAAAAAACAACATATTTTGTTACGATTTATCATCATAAAATAAAAACAAAATCAAACTGTTGACACTATTTATTGATAAACACAACAAATGAACATTAGGATAATAAATAATGAGGAATGATTATGAAAAAACACGAAATGGACATTTATACGCAGCTAAATGGATTTCAGATATTGAATTATTATGGAGTACTGGTCTTTCTCTTATTGGTGGTTTATCTGTCGTCATCTATGAATGCAAACAAAAATCATTATTAAAAAGTGTAATTTATAAAATTCTAGTTAGATACAATAAGAATTTTTTCAATGTTTTTAATGAAAAATATTACCGTGTAATTTATTTTTTTTTATAGATTATTTCTCTTGCGATAACCTTACTGTAAAACAAGAAATATGGATTTGTTGATTAAAATATTAATTGAATTATGTATTTTAAGAATGTGAAAATAAACTTTTATAGAACAAAGATATTGTAGTTTGCGAGTCAGATTGATTTTTAAATGACTTATGTAGAGCAGACAAAAACAATGCCATATGTATTTTCAAACAATATAATTATACTTTTAACATTGCAGTTAGTCTATTGCATCAATATAACTTGTGAAAAGGGAATAGTTTGAGCATGACATTGCCATTGTGATTTTTAAAAAGACAATCATGGTAAGTGTAATTAAGCGAGATACAGCGATAAATTGAACATGTTATGGTTATAATTATTTTGAACAGGACTGTCATGAAAGTAATAATTATGTGAGATATAGGGATAATTTGAGTATGACCTAGATTTTATAATTGTATATTTACCCAAGATAAATAACAGTTTGAAAAAGAACAATCATGGTTATTTCATATACCTGAGATACTGGGATAGCTTGATCAACGCACTGGAGTAATAATAATAATCTGAGATTACAGAGATAATTTCAACATGGCATTGTAATCATTTTTACCTGAGATACAGGGGTAGTTTGAGCAGGACATGGTAACTATAATTACCTGAGATAAAGGGGTAGTTTGAGCAGGACATGGTACTTATATTTACCTGAGATATACAGGGGTAGTTTGAGCAGGACATGGTAATTATAATTACCTGAGATACAGGGGTAGTTAGAGCAGGACATGGAGCCGTCTGGTTGACAGGTGCACATGTTACAGCCATCTCCAGCTGGAATCACCTGACCGGAAGCGTAATCCTGAGTATTGTGGGTACATCTGGGCGGCTCTGAACACAAAAAAGACAGAGTGAATGACTTGCTTATTTTTAAGCTGTAAATATATGTTTTATTTCAATAAAAATGCAAAATTTTCAGAAAAAGGTAAAAAAAATACAATTGTGTGGTAAAAAACTTTTAATCCATACATATAGTACATTTGCATTTAAAAAATGTTTATATTTGTATATATATTTCCATTCCAAATGTAATTAGCATTAATGCAACCAATTTTTGAAGAATATTTTGAATACCCTGATTTTAAAAGGCCCAATACTATATTTATTTCCAAAATTTTGAAACTTAAAGATGTTAGTGACTCTCTATATTTCAAACTAATCTCTCTCTCTCTTTCAACACATTTGCATTGAAAAAGTATATGTTTGACGCAGTTTGTGAATATTTTACTTACTGTCGTATGTTACACTGGTTTTTGTGGGATAAGTTGCACCACAGTTGATATCAGTACATCTGACTTCACCGGATGTAGCACAAATACACGTGTTGCATTTGTCACCCTTTGGAAAGTTGACCCCAGATTTGTAGACTTTCCCCATGTACAGACAATCTACAATCAATGTGTCAGTTATATCGTTATTTGTTTTCCAATCTCCTTGAAAAATATAATTCTAATTTACATCTTTTCAATTAAGAGGGTAAATATTCCACAGAGTTGTTTTTTTTTAATTTTTATTCAAATAAACTCATTTTCTTTTATATATTGTAATCTGTACACAGTGAAAGCTTTTGGACATATTCTTTCAGAGAAGTTTAGTTAGTGTACAAAAATATATCAAACTCATTTTCACAGTGACGGATAATACAAATGTCAAATTATACAGTTTTCACAGTAATATGTTTAAAAAAATTCAGTCATACCTGGATAACAGGCGAATTCAGTACAGCTAAAGTTTCCTGTCACCATGCACCAACACGTGTTACAAGGATCGGGCTTGAAGGTATCACCAGCTCTGTATCTGATACCTTGATTGTAACAGTCTGAAAAGAACAGAGTTTACCTCTGATTATCTATATTTTCAAACACGATTTTTGAAAAATAATTCACTGAACAGCAAAACTTAACAAAAATTATCATTAAGCAACGGATACGGGCGAGAGAGGTAATATAGAAAAATATCTGAATCCATAATTGGGACCATATAATACTGTCAGAAAATTATCAGAAAATCCAACTGTTTGACAGACCGACAATAAATAATTATTCAAAAATTTAAAACTCTCTAAACTTAGACTCAACAAACAATAAATTACATGCGTTGACATACTATATTCATTAAAAAAATAATTTATTAATACCTGGAAAGCATGACTTTTCTGTACATTGTATAGTTCCGTCCATCAAGCATTTGCATGTATTGCATGAATCACCCTTGTCAAAAATGTCACCCTTCGTGTAATATATTCCCTCAAAAAAGCAATCTGTAAAAAAAATGGTTTGCATTATGCAGATGCAGGAACTTACCAAAGAAAAAAGATATAGAAATACGCTGAAATCTCTGGATAAGGTTTTTTTTATTTATTTTTACCTGGAGAACAAATTGCATTGGTACATTGCGCGATTCCTCCCGGCATACATACACAGTTATTGCACCCGTCTCCTTTACGGAATTTCTGTCCAATTTTGTACACCCTTCCGTTAACTTCACATTCTACAGTGAAAAAAGACTTTACTGAATCATTATAATCTATTATAATCTTAGCTTTTGACTAGGTCTGTACATCCCTCCGTTAAGTGTACATTCTAAAGTGTAAAGAAGTCTTTATTTTAACATTATAATCTTAATTTTTGACCAGATCTGTGCACCCTTTTGTTAACTTAAAATTCTAAAGTGAAAAGAAGTCTTTACATTAATATCATAAACTTTATTTTTACTTCAATAAAGATTCAAAGCAAGAACCAGCCTTCACAATACAGGCAACTGAATCGTCAATGAAAGGTATAGAAAAGTAATTGAAATTCACATTACATTTAACATTACGAGGATCTGCTATTCAGTAACTTTTTACTGAATTTCCAGTTGATAATTAAAATGGCAGAGCATCCTAATGAGATTCTTTTTAGTATGAACATGAACTAGAATTATGGCATACATAAGGTAAGGTTTGAAGTTAGGGAAACGTTATCATCCTCCAAAGCGCACTGATTGATTAATTTTCCTTTATATTGTTTTCATCTATACACATAATTGTCCTAAACAGATTGATAAGTAGATCAGTCAAGAAAAAAAAATCCTGAAAATTTTTAGATCGATGTTAGTTTTTGCATGAATATAACATCTGTCAATCATTAAAGCAGTAAAAAAGTAATTAAAAGGGTAATTAAAAAGAAAGCCACTTACTAGGTTCACAAGAGTCTTGCGTACAAAACATGTCTCCAGTGACCATGCACGTGCATCTATTGCAGCCATCGCCTTTGGGAACCACAGCACCAGTGGAGAATTTCATGCCACCAAAGAAGCAATCTAAGAAGTATTTAAAGATAAGTTCAGAAATGTCAAAATATATTTATAATAGTATTGTTACAAATACAAAAAAAACCTGTCCATTCTACATGCAATAAAACATTTATAGATCTTGTTTTATGTGTCGAAATAATAATAAATTAATATTGAGTGTCATTGATTTGGTATACATAAAACATAGTAGTTATTTAAACTTAATAATTTTTTTTCATCTTTTTTAATTTCAAAATGCATCTCTCTATCAAAATTCAATGCACAAGAAAAATGTCTTCTTTGCTTATATTCCATTTGGCGTTCCTTTAAATGTGATTACATTCTCTGGTAATTTATGCGTGTTTATGTTTTAGAATTTTTACATCAATATTTTTTTATGTTATTTATTTACCTGGGAAGCACTTATTGTTTGTGCATACGACTTTCCCCGTCGGTAAACATTCACACGTATTGCAGTCATCGCCCTGCTTAAAGAGGTCACCGGCCTTGTACGTCCTACCAAGGTGTCTGCAACCTTAAAGGTTCAAGGTCAAAGTATAAGAACCTCTCAATCATAGCAATAAATTGAAGGGAAATTATAATTTATATTTTTGTTTTTCTTGAGAACAGAGATTTTAAGATTAATTGGCTTGTTGTTAAATGAAATTTCTCTGCGCAAATAAGATAAAAAAAGTAGAAGAATGTGAATTTGGAATTCCACAAATAAGTTTTTCATAATTAGTTGTATTTTTAGGTAAAAAGTGTATAGTAATGTGTTAGGACATAAAAATAAAAATATTTTTTATGTCCGACAATGCACATTCCCATCTACAGTATGCTGTCATTCCTGACTGATTCATATTCCATTACAAGGTAATTCCGTAGACTAAATTTTCTCCACAGGGATTCAGTTTTAATATAATTGTGTGATTAGGATTCAAACAATATAATTCATATTAAATCTTTGTCGTGACCAAATATTTTAACAGACTTATGTCAGAATTAAATATCTTTTACATTGCCATCAAAAATGCCAAAAATGTGGATCTTTCTCAACAACTTTGAGTTTTTTTTTTTTTTTTTTTTTGCATTATAATTTTTATTTGGAAAAAAAATACTATAAATATATTGGTTTACCTGGATAACACGGTTCTTTTGTGCATTCTACAGTCCCATCAGCCCCACAGATGCATTTGTTACACCCGTCTCCTACTGGGAAAGCGGATCCCTTTTTGTAGACCTGACCTAAGTACTCACAATCTACAAAAAAAAACCCACACAATTTAATGAGTATTATTAGATATGATAATCAGGTCAATCTGCTCAATGTAATCATAATCTGAAAATACACAAAATAGTGAGTAAAAAAAGTAATTTCAATCAGAAAATTCCAAAAATAGTGAATTTCAAAACACTGCAAAGGTTTCTTCTTATTGATAAAATTAATCATAGAGCAGTTGCAGGGTCCATCTTGCTTTGCCTTTTTCTACTCTATTTGTAAAAAGGTGAACTTAAAAAGTGGTGAATACAAGTTAAATGAGTAAAAGAATCATAAAAATGCTACGCAAGCTTGAAATTTATCTTATTATTTATAAGTGAAACGGCGAAAAGGGTGAAATAGTACTAGTATTCAGTGGTATATCCAAATATACGAGGGTTGTCCCGTAAAATCGTGGACAAAGCGTTTTCCTCGAAAAGTAATGGGCGCACTTAGGTGAAAATTTCAGTAAATATACATTTATCATATTTAGGTGCATGATAATTTTTTGGATAAAATATAGGCAAAAATAAAGATTTTATTATGCTTGAATATGCACGAGTATTGTCCTACGGCGCACGGTCAATATATCACAAGTTTGAATTCAAAATAAAAGTTTTTAAGTACATAAGATTTGGATTAAAATCATCCTAATTCAATTCCACAATCAATTTTGTAGTCTTTGTAAAAATTTTAAGGTATTTGCTTAATTTTTGGCAGTTTCTCGAGCATTCGAAATGGGAAAGTGATAAACACAACACACGAAAAATGGCGACGTTTTATTTATGGCACCGAGAACAGTTCAGTTATATTTCGAAATGACACCTTACATTAAATGACCATAGAAGAAAAAGATATAAAAATAACACCATATATTCAAATGAAATAGGAGTTTTCTTGAAATTTTTTTTGAACTACATAGCAAAATTGCAAATGAATGTAATAGCAAAAGACGCTGTAAAAATATGAGATTTTCTATCAGGTGAATTTTATTACTTTTGAATAATTGCCAGTTGGTTCTTCGGCTGTTTATGGAAAAAGAATGTGTATATATTCCTAAATTTAAGCTTCATTTTCAGCAAAGATAAAACGTGACGCTGTTTCAAAAACTTTGACGTTATAATCCATGCGCCGTAAGGTGATACAATACATGGCATAAAATCTTAATTTGCTTATTTATGCATATATTTATTTTGCTGTGTATATTACTAAAATATGTACTAAATAATAGTAAAAATTTCAGAACGCAGTGATGTTTATTTTTCACACTAGACAACTTGTCCACGATTTTACGGGACAACCCTCGTATGTTGCTCGAAATAATGCTGATTTCGCATATTTTTGGTATGAATATTTTTTATGGTGACGACAATAAAAAGTTACATTATTAGAATCTAGTCACAACATATTCTTACTGTAGTTAAATAACTATATGGCGATCATTGCAAATGAATGCATATTAAAATATTTCCAAATTTTATTGTTCTGAATACTTGATTACAAAGTGGATACATCGAAGTAATTTTTGCTGTTTATGATCGTCATTTGATTTTTTTCCCGTTTTTTTCTTTACTTGAATTAAAAGAGGAGTGAATTCTTTTCTATCAGAATTGAAAATAATAAACATTAACCATTCTTCAAAGTCCTTATTAACATAGCAACAGTGAGGCAAACACGACACCTCGAACACAGACAGGGATCAGGTACTAGAGATGAGTATAAATCCCATAATTTACCATTCATATCAGCATTTAAAATGAGCAGTGCATTAAGGAGGCTATAGGGTCAACAAATTAACCACCAGATATAACTTAAATTTTTTTAATTTATATCTCAAGCTGTCAAATATCATTTGGCAAAGAAAAAATTCATAAATTTTAGTTTTAAAAATTGATCATTTTAGTATATCTTTATATGAAGATCTTCTTCTAAAGGAGATCGAAATAGTCTATAAAATGGCTACAACCACCCAGCCCCTTTAAACAACACTTACAATCCTTAGTGTCACAGACAATCCTGTAGTCCTGTCCACACATACACTGTCTTCCTGTGTCATCCATAAAGGTCTGTCCTACTGTGTACGTGTCATAACCATTAGTACACACGCTGAGCTGAGCTATTTTAACAAAAAAAAAAAAAATAAAAAAGATCAAGAAAATTAATTTACGACAAAAAGATGTCTATGTTATTTTGATAGGTTATGTGGTTGAGGAAGAAAAAAACAATTTTACATACATTATTATACAACAATTATGATCACATTTACTAAAATAATTCTTAAGTGAAGAAGGACCAAGGAATCTAAAGGTCAATTGATTTTCATTCTGACCAATGATCTTGGATGACTATGAATTACATATTTCCTCATCTGGAAGTTAGATTATTTACAATGAAAAAAAATTCTAATTTAAGGATATACGATCATCAGTTAGGAAGGATAACTCTTTAATTTATAATTTAATTCAAAAAGTATTAAAATAAAGCTTGAAATTGAATTTTTTTCAAATTTTCTATGCCTCTACATGATTCAATGTTTAAAGTTTTAACACATTTAAAAAGTTGAAATTTGTACCTCTCTCTTATTTTAAAAAATCAAATTTCTTTTAATTTAGCCTTATTCTGTTTATATGCAGGATTTAAAATTATGTTTACAGTGTTTTCTTTGAAAGGAAACACATACACTATGCATTATGAAACAATGGAAGTATTGAACATTAAAGTCCAAATAATTGTAAAATTCATGCAATTTTCTTTAAAAGCCTGGATACCTAGATTTTTATTAAAATGTATTTGAAATTATCAATTAAAAAATATGTAGGTAGTTCAAATATTTTTTATTCAAGATTTACTAATTTTCCCTATTAATATGATTAAATCTTTTTTAAAGAAACACCGTGGGTAAATACATTTTAATTTGAGAATATAGCATCTTTGTGAGCATTTTCAATTACTTGTTTTCAGTCTTTTTTTTTGAATTCTTCAACAACAGACATTGATATTTTCCAAACAAAAAGGATTTGCTTTACAGATTTTGTTCACATTTAGATATATATATTGCACATAGACGTAACAAGTAAGATATTGAACATAGCTGTGTCCAGTCCAAAAGAGATATTATGATTTAAAGCAAAAAAATATATTCTATGGCATGCAAAAAAATTGACATTTGTTAAAATTTTTCTAATATTTTTATCTTCGTGTGAATAGCTACGTCTGTTTCAGTCAAAATTTAACAAAAAATGTAAAAGATTTCACATTAGAGTATAGTAACTTCTCATGAAATAATCTCCAAAATAATTTTAACTTCCAGATTTTATTGAAAAAAAAGAAATGCAATTTTGTTTGCTAAGGAAGAAATTAAATTCATATCTAAATTTTTTTCTTGGAAAAAAAGAGAGAACTGATTTACACATTTTGTGTCTATTTATCACGCACAATTATAATCCTTATTAATATTTTACCAACACTGTCCGTACTTAACAATAAACGCATGAGAAAGTACAAAACAGACATAATAAAAATACTTACGATCATCTGCAATGCTCAGTGATACTAATGAAACGATAAACAGTAGACAGCAGTTGTTCTTCATGATGAGAAAAAACATCAAGAAGAATAAGATCAGACAGAGTCAACTATACAGGACTAAAATCACTCACAATGTGTTAAAATTCATTCAGAACTCTTCTTATATACAAAAGGTCATAAAAAGGAAGTTCCGGATTTTTGGTCAATTTCAAACAGGCGTTAAAATGACAAACCTATTATTTTAGCAAATAGGTGCAGAATCCTAATGATTATTAATTATTATTTGCATTATAATTATGACTAGATTTTGACGGATATTTGTGGTTATGTGATATATATTAGTCAGGACGACCGCTGAATACTAAGTATCTTTGTTTACCTGTATTTTACCTGTAGCGAGCCCTCAGGTGATTTTTTTTCAGGGCTGCGGCGATGAGATTAAAATACACATTTAATTTCTATTTGTCAAACAAAATCGTTATTTTTCATTGGTTATCATTTTGCTTTATATCTCTTGGATGATCTGATTGATTTGATGAAAAATTCATAATTTTTCTCCAGTCCTCTTCTTTTTGTTTCATTTAAATTCTCATTTCATTTAATAATAATATTTGGATAAATTCAAAGAAAAATGAATGCAGTTGATTTGATAATTAAACAAAATGAAAAAAGTATTAAAAATATTTTACATGAATGCATCTTTTTTAATACAATTTTCTACTACGTGTGGTTTATTTTGCAGATAGATGCAAGTGTTTAAATTATTTTAACTCAAGCTTTAACTTTTCTTCTAATTATGCACTACTTCGGATTAAAAAGGAGAAAATTAACGTGAAGTTAATTTATTTAGAAAAAAAAACATCTACAGGATATACGTGATTCAAAGTTGTATTTCGCTGTAAAGGTAAACTTTTTTGAAAGCAATAAAATCATGATGGTTTATCTTTTTTTATTATGCTTTCCATCATCCATGATTTTATGTTATTACAGTACCTGGTCAATGTAGCAAAGGAACGATACATTTTATTATATCAATTACTATCATAGATTTTTTTAAACAAATGCTATAAAAAATAAAATTACTTTCAAAAACTCTGCAGCGGTACATGCTGATTTTTATTAGGTTAATGATATCATGTTTCAAATATATTTTCCTCCAAAAAAGTCATTTTTAACGTAGAAACCTATTAAATGTGAAGTAAATTGTTCACATTTAACCCTGATATTTTTACTTTATTGTTTTAATCCAAATTTTAAAATATTTAAAGTTTATATATATACTGTTATCTATTTTTTTTAAAGACATTTATGGGCTTTAAAAGTTTGAAATGATATTTACACCAAAATGTAATTGTTTTCCTATGCATTGAATATTTCATTTGATATTTGCTACTAGCTTCAGTTTCAGGATAAGAAATATATAGTTTGAATAAAATTATGGAGATGTATTACGAATATAAAAAAAGAGATTTTGCATGGATCATTTTTCATATTTGTACGAAATGCTCATTTCTATACGTGACGAAATAAACGTAGCAAAAAATTATGTGAGCAAGAATGTCTGAATGGCTGCATAGAGTTTTTTTTTTTCGTAGTCCACACTTTTTAAAGTTCAAAAAATATGTGTCGAGGCATATTTATATTACCATGTAATTTAATGCATTTCCAAGACCAAGAAGGAACATGTTTTGCATATTTAAATCTTTAAAATCCAAAAAATAAAAAAAAATAAAACTTGATTCTTGAAGATTTGAATGTGATTGGTCGAAGCAAATAAGTGTGATTAACATGCCCTGCTGATTATTTAAGTAGGCCGCTAATGAAAGGCTACACACAATCAGCTGCAATAATGTTGATTTGAAGATACTTTATGTTAACCTTTTTTCTATATTCTTGAAAGATATACATGTTTGGTGATAAAGTACCTGTGTATCCTTCTTATTTATAGCATATAAAAAGTACTATAAAAGGTTTAATGTAACGCTTTTGTCGAAAATATAAATGTTTCTTCCATAATTCCTCTAAGGATGAAAGGAAATTCTTCTCATTCAATGGTGAAATATTCTGAAGAAAACTGCGGTCACCTTATACCAGACATTAACCTCGTTAGGTAGTTTATTGGCCATACAGATTAATTTGACATTAGCAACTACAAACACCTGCACACAATCTTGTTTGACACCTTTTTTGCTATTTTTCACACTGTTTGTCAATAGGAAATTGTTCATGCATTTAAAATGATATTTTATCTTATAAACTTGTTTGTTGCATTTTATTTACAGATTTTTTTTTCTAAATGAAGTCATTTGTTTAGATTTTTGGTTTTTTTCTTTCTGTTTAATCTTTGTTTTGTTTTGTTTTATATTGCTTGGTTAAATTTTAGAATGCATTTATACTTCACATAGTAAATTGTGACCTTCATCAATCAAAACGAGTTTCTAATATAAAAATCTACATGTAGTTCGTTAAGACTAACATTAAAAATACTTTACCCTTTAACATTATTCAGGTGAGCATAGATCGTTAATAGTTTTCTTGGGGAAAACATTTTCATGTGACAGATCTTATACGACAACAATCTGCATATGTTTTTGTGGTCGTAAGCAAATATAACTTTGTGAGCAGATATAACATTGCATTGGGTCATTTTTGGCTGACCTGGTCCAAAATAATTGTAAACTTTTTTATGCGCTTCATCGAAAGATCCGAGGCGTATATTGTTTTTTCCTGTCTGTCTGTCTGTCTGTCTAGCTGTCTGTTTGTTTGTTTAGCTGTTTGTCTGTTTGTCTGCAAACTTTAACCTTCGCCATAACTTTTGAACGAAGAAAGATACAGACTTAACATTTGGCATGCATACTTCACTAATAAATTTCTTTTAAATGACACCAAGGTCAATGACCTTGTGACCTTGAATGTGACCTATATGCTTAAAATAGTTTTTTTCTGCAAACTTTTATCTTAACCATAACTTTTACACCATTAAAGATAGAGACTTCATATTAGGTATGCATACACCACCGATGAAGTTCTTTCAAATGACACCATGGTCAATGACCTCGTGACCTTGACGGTGACATATACGCTAAAAATAGCTTTTTTGTCAGCAAACTTTAACCTTCGTCCTTTTGAACGAAGAAAGATAGAGACATAATATTTGGCATGCATACTCCACTAATTACCCCCTTTCACAAGACACCAAGGTCAATGACCTTGTGACCCTAAATGTGACTTATACGCTAAAAATAGCTTTTTCGTTGGAAAACTTTAACCTTTGCCATAACTTTTGAACGCAGAAAGGTAGAGACTTCATATTTGACATGCATACTCCACTAGTTAAGCCCTTTCACAAGACACCAAGGCTAATGACCTTGTGACCATGACTGTGTCCTGTATGCTAAAAATAGCTTTTTTTAACCTTCACCATTACTTTTGAACCACGAGAGATGGGTATTTCATAGTTGGTATGCATTCTCCACTAATCAAGCGCTTTCAAATGACACCAAGATCAGTGACCTTGTGACCTTGACTGTGACCTCTATGTTAAAATCTGTTTTTTTTAACTTTGATGCCGCCGACCAAAATAATGATTCGTTGATTGTATGTTGTTTTACGTCCCATTCGAGAATTTTTCATTCATGTAGAGACGTCACCGTATGCCGGTGAAGGGCTTCAAATTTTGACCTTTACTCGGCACTCAGGGCCATGGAGCAGTGAGGGTTCTTTATCGTGCCAAACCCTTCCATGACACGGGACCTCCGTTTTTAAGTTCTCATCCGAAGGACCCGCAACTTTCACTTCAAGTACCGAGTGCATGGCTAAGGAACAGTTGCACACATTTTTATCGACTTAGTTCTGTCGCGGCCGAGATGCCAACTCAGGACTTCCCGTTCATGGAACCAAAGTAATGAAACTTCCTGTTATTTATGACTTTTTTTGCTTATGAAAATGCATATACCAACTGTCTGAAATATTTTAATATGATTGTAGATTTTTTTTTATTTTAGTTCTTCTTTTCTGTAGTCTCCCTTTTTCCTCTGAAATTGCTTTTAATAGTATTTCTTGAATAAAAAAACATGTAAGCTGTATGTATTTGCTTTTAATTTATTCATATTACTTATATAAATTTCTAGACGTATTTTTATGACTTTTTCCCAAAAAAATCTGTTTTTATTTTTTTTTTTTCTAATTCAAATCATAAATGAGTTTTAAACCACACCCTTTTTGAACAATGATGATAAACGACAACATGAAAGATTATTTTACTTATTTTTGTGAATATCGTACTTATCTTATCATTAAGAAAATTATTTTATGACCGAATTTATTGAAACAAATTTTAGAACATTATTGATTTTTAAAACCATTTCCTGCTACATTATACACAGATTGATTAGAATTAAAGTAGTTCAGTGTTTTAATTACGATTTTATAGTCTTGTGTTTCAATGAAAAAAGAGATACATATCTTTTGATCATTTTGATTCCTAAGGTTATAAAGCGAATAATATGATCTTGTCATATTTTCAGTTGAAAAATGATCTATAGGATCATCATTAATAATTTTAGCATATACATGTATTTCTTCGATTATAAAATCAAATGATATAATCAGAGTAGTATATTACAAAACACCTTATAGGCATTGAAAATTTAGGTTTACCTTTTTTTGTTGGATTAGCCCACCACTTTAAATTAGCACTCCCTTTCAATTTGCTTCCAATGCCTCTGTAAGATAACATTATATTATCAGACTAGTAAAAGGCAAAGCACCTTCACAATGCACCCTGATTGAATCTAATAATAGATTTACAAAGAACAAACATCTTAAATGTCAGTGATCTTTTTTCAACTTTCTTTTCAGTACAAACCTTATTGAAGTACTGTAAGTCAACTTTTTACGAAAACTTTAATTTTGCGTGATTACGCAATTCGGTGCATGTGCTCACAACAGTACAATTCTAGCCTACATAAATATTATTTAAGATCTTATAGAGTTGTCACTTCAATTCGTAGAAAAATATTTTGCTTATAAGAAGAAAATGTCAACCATAAAAAAATCAGTTCTTGCGAAAATTTAGTGAGTTACAATATTGCGATGTTCGACGATTATTGTAAAATGCTTTACGTAATCCTTTATGCTTTCTCTAAAGTCTTTG